AATTAAGGGTAATGAATAATAATTAATATTAATGAGAGTCATAATTAGAAAAAAGTGACATTAAAGTAACATTTCAATAAATTAACTTATAAGTTAAATTATATCAATCCAAAAATATATTAAAAAATAAGCTAGCTTATATTTGTCAAACAATATCTGAATTGTTATATTTTTTCACTAAGAAAAAAGGACCAGTTTATAATTAGCATACCTCTTCTAAAAGTAACCAGTAGATTTGATCTTGAATACATATATGTATGTTATATAAAACTATACATATTTTAGTTATTATTTTAGCTCTAAGTTAGACAAATTTTAAATTCAATGCTTATTTTCTTCTTAAAATATGCACTACAACAAAATTTGCTGGAGGAAAATTATGTATAGAGAAAACATTAAAGTAATCACTGGATAAAACCTAAGATTATAAGTTATATTTCGATCTGAAGCTGTGTTGGTATCATGAAATTAGCTCGAGAATAATCTCAAATCTTATAACAATTTTGACATAAATCATTACCTTTAAAACCTAAATAATCGAAACCAAATCTATCTTATGTCAAAATCCTTATTAATTGAATTGTTGAAAATAAGTAGCGGATGAGTACAAAAGAATGTAGACTAACAAAACTGATGTAATACCCATTATCAAACTGAAACTTTAGATAGCTCATAACACATTAGGTAAACAATCAACTAGCTAATAAACACCTTAGTGACAAACAATCAACGCTTACTGTCTAACCATTAGTGTTCAACCATCAACGCTGCTAACACATCAGTGGCCAACCATTAGCATTGATGACATATTGGTTCTTAACAATCAATGATGATAACACAATAGTGGGACCATTGCCATGGACACAGCCATTGAACCCCGCTAGGGACGTTGTCCTCAAACCCCAAAAGGATGGGGGAGGACCCCTTTGACCGCGACCATCGGGTGCCAGTTAGCGATCCCATGTTCTAGCTTACACGAGTGCACACTCCACACTTCTAAACTCATGTTATAGCTTAACTAACACCATTAATTCTCTTGTGATTCTAAGTATACAAAATAAGTTGATGAGTTCACGAAAATCACCAACAAAAATTAAAATGTTCACATCATAATTGGCCTAATTAATTAAACGTAGGTTATAGGACAAAAAATGTGTTACAATCATTGTTCAAAGGGGCAAGAAGTGTCTCCACCATTACTTAAAGGCCCGTAGCATTTGTATAAGGCGTGACTTACGTCATGATGCCTTGAGGCGCCTGTTTTTTCCAAGACTCGACTTTTTTCAAAAAAAAAAAATATTTTTTTAAATTTTATTTTTTAACTTTTGTGATTTTACACTTTTAACTTTAAATTTTATATTTTTACAGATTTAGTTAATCACATTATTCCCACAGCTTTTTGGATTCATACATGTCAAAGAATCACGGTTAAAGCGAATTTGTAAAACCATTTCAAGTTCTATTTTAAGATTTTATCACAAACCTTTATATAATACTATTTAATTCATACGAATGTAAAATCTTTAATATCATTATTATATTGAATAATAAATAGAAAATATATATTGTATACACACATATATATATATATATAATTATACATATATAAATAATATTATATATACATACATACATAGAGTTCGTTTCAAATGCAACCCATCACATGTGTACAACTAATGTAATCCAATAAATTGAGATGTTTATGGAAATTATAAGAGTTTATTTATTATGATTTGAATATTTATAGAAGATGAATAAAGTTCATTAATTATGATTAATATTTTATATTAGCAAACAATCAAAATTTCTATATGATCTAATGTTCATCAAATTAAATGAACGGTTGAAATTGGATTGTATTGGTTGTACAAATGTAAATGGTTGTATAATAACCCACCTCTACATACATACATACATACATACATACATACATACATACATACATACATACATACATACATATATATATATATATATGACCTTATTTGCCGCTTTATATCATGCCTTAAAAACATTGCGTCATCGACATGACGTGTAAGGTTTAAGGTTTGAAATCACGTCACGTCTCACACCATTTTAAACCTTAACTACAATAAGTTATTAAGATGAAATTAATTAGACAACATATCAAATTTTATCTTTACAACACAATAAGCTTGTAGGGTAAGGTCAACTGTCAATAAGCTTCGGGTCTTCAAGGATTCTTCTCGGAGGTCAACTGTTCGACCTCTACAAGATCATTGGGGATTATGCTGTTCTCCATGGTCTCTAAGAATAGTCAAAGTACACGTAAGTTGGTCCGGACACCTATTGTTAATAAAAAAATCTACAGTTGTTAGTTTCATAATTCATTAAAACCGGTAAAGAAAAATACATATTAATGGCTCTTCCATTTACATACTTTTTAATTATGAATAAATTTGACAAAATTAACAAATAAACTTAAATATTATCATAAAATAATATGCGTCATGACAGAAATACAAATGAAATTTGGTCACTAACAAATGGTTTGTTTGTGATGTTAGAAAACTGACATCAGTGATTGGGATTTATTTAATTATTATTTTCTTAATTAATTATGCAATTATTCAAGACTAAAAGTCATTTTTCAACTTTGTAAGTAAAAAATAAAATTGTTTTATTTTATATTTCTCCCTCTCAAAATAAATATCTATGATTTAATTTGACATACAATTTTAAAAATGTAGAATTGTTAAACTTTTAGTTGACGCAAACATATTTTTACTCTTAGTAATAGAGAGTTTTTTTTTTCCACGTCATTAAAAATAAAGGTGCTCAAAATACCGACCAATCTGAAAAAACCCAAAAGAACTCAACCTATCGAGCTAACCCGACACGTAGATGATACAAAATTAGACCAACCCGCATCTATTAGGTTGGAATTGGGTTAGAATATTTTGAACTCAACCCAACCTAATGAACCCGATACACTTCTATAATATAAATTTAATGTGATTTTTAAATCTTTGATTAACATATATTCATTAAACATTAGACCAATGCATAATTAATTATATTCAAAATTACATTACAATATCAACCGCAATTTTAGTTTTTTTATTTACATAAACAACAATTAACTAGTTTATCAAACATAACAATATTATATATATAACTAAAATATTTATAAGTCCAAATCTTGCAATTGGTTTCAAATTATCAAAGACTCAGAACATATTAAAACACAAAAGTGGGCTTCTAATTAAGATTCTTTTAAATGATTAAAATGTTGTAATTAATTAATATAATTTACAGTAAATTACAATTTGATCCCTATGGTTTGTTAAAAATAACATTTTTCGTATTTATAGTTTCGAAATTATAAGATAACCATCATGCATGGTTTGCAAGAACGTCCAAAATTTGGTGCCTTCCTCTAACCATCGTTAAAAAATTCCATTATATAGAGGACATTTTCGTCATTTTATTGATTTTTTTGTCCTTTACCTAATCAAAAAACCAGATGGACTGAAATCATAAAATTGAATTTGATTGGATAGAAGAAAAAAAACCAATTAAAAGACAACGAAACTTTTTTTAACGGTCGTTAGAGTTATGAAACTTTTTTCATATACGAATATCCAGAGGGAGGCGTACGACTTCCTTGAGGGTAAGATGAAGCTCGGCGGACTCTTTGTAGCATTTCTTTCAACGAAATATCATGGAAGGGACCCTCAATTTAGTTATTCAAGATTTAAACCTGAATGGTAAAAATTCACAAATCTATCGAGAATTCTACTCCCACTGTACCAATGAGGCATTTTGTCTTAAGTTGGGATTACCCCTACCTTAAGGGTCTTATTGGATCAAACTTTTCTCGGTCTTCAAACTAGTCATTAATGGTCGACTTCATGGTGCCCTTTCGGTATGCGTTGCAAAGACTTTCATTTTTAAGAGATCAAATCCGAACATTTTTAGAAACTATGATGGTCATCTTATAGTTTCGAAATTACAAGAATAAAAAGTATTATTTCTGAGAAACCCGAGGGACCAATTACTCTTTAACTTAATATATACTATATTATAAAGCATTTGACAAAAAAACTCTTAAAACCCATTTTTTATGCATGAAGTACTGGATATTGATGCATATTACTTAAAATTCAAGATTACAAGTAAATTATGCATAAGTACAACTTATTAAAACTCCATATTTAAATTCGTATAACTAACTATAGATAAACATAATCAAATAGAGGATAAACATCTCATTTTAAAATATAATTAGGATAATTATCGAGTTCTAACAAAATAATTAATTATTATCTTTATAAGAAAATTATATTATTAAACCAATATATATTACTTCGTTATTGAACCTAAATTAAATTGTAATAAAAAAATTGAATAAAAAAATTACACAAAAAATATGAATTTTAAATAGTTAATTTGATACTAATATCGATATATTTTTGTGAAAATTTTATGATATATTCAAATTTATATTTTATTCAAAAATAAAATGATCATCGCTTTTTCAAAATCACATAAAACCATACTATAATATCGACTGAGATAAAAAATAAAAGAAAATATTAAAATCAAGATGTATATCGCTATATTGCACGAGTACCCTTCTAATTACTAATAAACAAGAGTATATATAAACCCTTAAGATACCACCACAAGCAATGTTTCTTGGAGCAAACACATATAGAGAGATCATTACATATAAAACACCAAACCAACTACACCTTCATTATTTCTTCACTACCAAACCTTATCATCAGCCATAGTCAAAACTTCACAAGGTTTCATTCATTTCAATTCTTCATCTCTTTTAATTAACTGCTTTTCTGTATCCAAATGCTTGTTTCTTGATCATCAATATATATATGGTGCATGCAGATATATATATATATATATATATATATATACATATATATTATAGATGATGGGAAGGTCATCTAGCAGTGACGAAAGTGGGCTGAAAAAGGGGCCATGGACGCCAGAAGAGGACCAGAAACTTATCGATTACATCGAGCGAAACGGGCATGGCAGTTGGAGAGCACTGCCGGCACTTGCTGGTCTGAATCGGTGCGGCAAAAGTTGTCGTTTGCGGTGGACGAATTATCTCCGACCTGATATCAAAAGAGGGAATTTTACAGAAGACGAAGAGAAGCTCATCATCCACCTCCATTCCCATCTTGGAAACAAGTAATTCCTTCATCTACTAACTTGTTTTCAGTAACAAAATTGAGTTGAGCGTTATTTGGTTGGTTTTCCTTTTAAGTTCTCTAAGGATAAAAGATGTTTGTCTGGATTAATCTCTCAGTAAGGTTTTTATTTGAGAGGGTATTTGCATATATGGAAGGAACGTGTTCTTTAATTGAGAGGGACAAGTTTAGAAAAAAAACTTAGCTTTCTGCATAAAACTCTCTAGAAGCTTATAGAATACGCCACTTTCTAAATCAATGTGTCACTCCCAAACAACCATGTACGTAAATGACTTAATAAACTGTGAGTCTCATTAAGCTCATTTAATTGTTAACAAACAAGCCCTTATAGAACGGTAAAAATGTCAAAGTGTCATGATATAATATACTACTTAATTGTATGACTTAAGTTTATAACCAGGACCAAATAATTGTATATCAGATGTAAAAGTGTTACAATAATATTCTTAACAAATTTTAGAACATCTTTTCTAATAAAACGTCCTATAATAAAATGTTTTGTTTTAAAAGTGTCTTAAAAAACTTGTTAAAGCATAGAAAATCGTCTTAAAAACTTACTACAACATTTTTACTTAAAACAAACTATTGTTTTGTCTTATAAACTTAAATCCTACATATAAAGCACTAAAAAATCTAGTTTCAGTGTCGCTTTTGTTTAGGTTGAAAATGTGGATATAATTTACTGAAAAATGTTCATGTTTTAGGTGGTCAGCAATTGCAACTCATCTTCCAGGAAGAACAGATAACGAGATCAAGAACTTCTGGAACACTCACCTGAAGAAAAAACTACTCCAGATGGGAATCGATCCGGTCACCCACCAGCCAAGAACCGATCATCTCGACATCCTTGCTCATCTGCCACAACTTCTAGCCATGGCTGCCAATAACTTAGGTGCTACAAATCTTCTGAATCCATCCTTCTTCGATATGAATCTAACTACCCTAATGTCGCAATCGGAAGCCACAGAAATCGCCAAATTTCAGTTGCTTCAAAACATACTTCAAGTCCTGAGTACCAACAATACTACGACTTCGATACCACAAAATATCGACCAGTTTTACGCTGTTCAGCTATCGGAATACCTCAAGCTAAACCCTCAACACCTGCAAAACCTTCAAGAATTAGCCATGAATGAAGCTCAAACGACTTCGAGTTTACCATCATTTTCGGCCCACGATTTTGTTTCACCGAGTTATTCAAACCTAGAGTTGGATCATCAGGAAGGGTCAAAAGGAGTCGGTGAGCAACATGGGATGACCGTCGGGAAAGAAGAGTATGGTCGTTTTGAATCTGTTCCACCCCTGGTGCCTGCCTCGCCGGAGAATGTTAATGGTGGTGGCAAGGGGCGGAGCGACGGTGGTGATACGCATATTGAATTGGGAAACACTAGCCTTCTCACGAAACAAAATGAGCATCTCTCGTCGTCTACTTCAACTACTACTATTGATGCTAATTGGCAAGATTTCATGGATGATGAAGCTACTGGTTGTTATTGGAAAGAGATCATCGAGTAAGCCTTAATTCACTTTCTTTTTCATATTAAATTTTACATAAACTCAGTCATACTTATACATATAATTATATGAATAACGCATGTAGAATTACATATATATTATATCACACACACATATGTATGTATATGTGTATATATATATATATGTATGTATATGTGTATATATATATATATATATGTATGTATAGATAGAGGATAAAAATATGGTGTCCCATTGTAATAAAAAAATGTAAACTTGAATTAAATAAATATAAAATTGAACCATGCAGTACATGCATACTTCCAGAACACTTTCTATTTTCAGTAAGCTTCTACCATAATTTACATTTTTATCATTTCGTAATCATTATTTTAATCAATAAGTTAATTGTTAGCTTATAATAAAATTAATATAGTTGTAAAATGAAAAGTTAAATGTCGATTAATAAAGTAGCATCTGGTGATAATTAGCTGATAAAATAGTCATGTATCTTTAGCAAACACTAAAAACATAAGATAGATGGTGATGTAAAGGGAAATATAGTGGGGATTTATGTAATATATATTTACAAGGGTATAATTGGAAAATAGTGAGAACAACTCCCAATAAGTTATGCAAAGGTTAGATTTTTAAGAAGGTAGCTTATAGCTTATCATACGATAGTTTTTTATGGTTATCGGACAGTCTAAAATTGAAATAGTTTAATGTAATTTACCCTTATTAAATTGAATTTTAGATTTGTCACAAGTAGCCAAATATTTATGTTACATCATGTGTTAATTCAAACATTTATACGTTTCAAGACCTAAAAACTCAAGGTTCTGCAAATAGAAGCATCGAACTCTTGGTGTAAAACCTGACTATTGCTAAACCGAGAAACTCTTTGCATTAAAACTATTCTGTTTTGTTTGTGTACATAACACATATTTCGTTAATATGGATGCAGGCGGACATCTCCATCGTGGTCATAAAGAGGACAACATACAGATTTATATCATACCGACAAAAAAATGTAGGAACATTTTGTGAAGAAGTTAAATAATTGGAGTGCTGGGATTGATTGGTTGATTTGTTAATGAAAAGTGTTACGATATTAATGTTGTTATTGTACATAAGACACGACCATACGTTCATAGAGATTAAATATATCCCTTGATATGTCATATGTTGATGTGTATTTAATGTAACCTATGTTGTTTCATCAAACGATAATATCACGAAAATTATAAACATCAAATTTCTTTATGAGATCAATGTAAAACAATGTTTTTTTTAATAAACTAAATATATTTTAGATCTTTTTGACACATATATACATATATATGTATATGTATATGTATATATGTGTGTGTATATATATATATGTGTGTATATGTGTCATAAAAAGTTTGATAATATATGAAGTTAACACGTAAAAGCGACAGGAAAGTGGGAGGTAGTAGGATTTAAGTTAGGGTGGGAGGGAGGTGTTGACTTTTGATTAGAAACAACAAAAATGTCAAACCAAAAATGTCATTCAAAGACTAATAATTAGTTAGGCAATTTAATTGGACTTTCTTTTCACTTGTCAAATGCTAATTCCCCATTTCTCATTAATACTTTTAATTATAGTTTATTTTTAGTGCCTTTTTTGCATTATAATGGAATTAAATTAATATAAGTTTAAAATAAAACGTTATAAGTTACAATAAGAAATAATTTTATTTAGTGATTTATAGTTAAGAGTTTTTGTTTGCTTTCTTCGATCTAGGAATAGTGTATGATCTCACACTGGTTGAGGAGGAGAACAAAGACTGTCTTATAAGGGATTTGATACCTCTTTTTTCAGACAAGTTTTAGAATCGTGAGTCCAGGTGTGAACAAAACGAAAAAAAATTGGTATGATTTGTCGATGTCATCAATTATTTTAGTGTGATTGTGGTTCATTCGAGATAGATTAAGAGGATGAGACAAACATAAGTGATTTAGGAGGTGTGGAGTGCATACTTACAAATATTTCATCTATCACCTTAGATCGCTATAAGATAGGGGTCAAGAGGGGTGCGCCCCTTTGCGGGGTTCAAGGGGCAGCACCCCTAGCAGGTTCCAAAGGGAAGAGCCCCTTGGCGGTAGTTGGAATTTATGAAGAGTCGAACTTGGTGGAAAACTCAGAAAGTTTAAGTTTGTGCAAGTAATATCAGAGTTATGAAGATTCGTCTAAGGACCTAACTCTGGACCTTGAGTCCAGACTTATGTCTAAGTCTGAATCTTCGAGTTCAGAGGTCAGGACTTTGAGTCTAGACTTGAGCTTAAGTCTGATGTCATGGGTTCAGAGATCTGGACCTTTGGGTCTAGACTTAGGTTCAGACTTGTGACTTCCATATCGTGTCAGACTTATCTGATACGGTTATAATTTCTCTTTCAATCTTATCCATTAACGGTTATTACCATTTAACTACCCATAACTATCGATCTCTCATTTAAATATGTAACAACGAGAATCTGGGTATAAGAATCTCGATTCCACAGCCTTTGAAAAGAGAGTAAAACTAATAATTATCCCAATACTGAGTTCATGAACCCAAGGTTGTAAAGTGTTTCTAACACGATTCTTGAGTTTATCCAGTTCCAATTACATCTCCTCTACCCTCTATTTCTAACACGGTTGACTTGAGATGTTACAGATATACACATAGATCGTCTAAGTAAAAATCTAAACTTATAGATAATGCATATAAAACCCACTCTCAACAATGTTCTATATGAAAATATAATATTTATTTATGGTAAGTAAGCTCACATACTCTCTTCATCTTTAGTAAGATTTGAATCCTTTCGGTGAAAACTCGACAATGAACATTTCTTAGTTTTCTAATAAAGTTATTATCCGTTGTATTTATTTCTAATCATTTTTAAGTATTTTTTTCCCACATCACCCAACGAAAAGAGTTGATCATGCTCTTTATTACAAATATCAAGAACTAGTTATAGAAGGTTGGGAATGAAATTTTTGATCTGCTATTTCTACATACCCTTGGTATATATTGGCTATATGATCATCCTACCACTCACCGACTTACCAAAAAAATACATATACAAAAAGGTACAAATAGTACTATAGTAGGTATAACTATTCTAACACGACCCCTCAAGATGGACTCGCAAACAGATCTTGAAAAACCATCTTGGAAGTAACAGGCAATAACTTGGACCATGGCAATGACTTAGTAAGAATATCTGTAAGTTGAAATCGCTTCATATTGGCATGAGCTTAATAATGCGATCTGAAAGATCAAAACAAGATTGCTTCAAAATGCACCAAGTGTAAAAGTTTGAAGAGTTAACTTCAGAATTTTGCATCGCAGACTTTCAGAGTTCTGAGTTCAAGAAAAGCATACAAGTCATAACTCTTAAGAGTTATCTTCAGAACTCTAGAATGCCAGACTTCAGAGTTCTGGTACAAGAACAACTTCATGTGTACAAGTGTCAACTCTGAAGAGCAAATCTTCAGAGTTCTAGAAAAAGTGAAGATTCAAAGAGTACAAGTACAAATCTGAAGATCAAGTCTGAAGACCTTGAGTTCAGAGTTAGAATAACTCTAAAGGAAGGAACTTTAAAGTTTATCCTTTCAACAACCTGAACCCGATAATGCCTATTTATTTGTTTTTTCAGTTTTATAGGATTTACTTGTTGTATAAATAGATAGGCTATTCATTATTATTGATAGGATTCTAGGTTTACTATTCATTATTCTTTGTACTCAAATAGCAGATTGCTGCTTTCTATATTACCATTACATTTAATAAAGAAATCTTTTGGTAATTGTGAGTCCACAATATGATCAAGCTTCATATATCTTCATACAATCCATGGCAGAATCATAATATCATCAAGAACATGTAAGAGACTTGAGAGGAAAAGTCAACACAGTCAAAGCTCTTATAAACTCTCAATGTTGTATGTATTATTACAATAAAGCTCTCCTATAATTACACTAAAAGACAAACTATATATAGGGTCAAACTAAGAACCCTTCTAGTGAAAGTCAACATTACAAAGCAAGTCAAACACACTATCTATACAATTATAGACAATTATAAACTTTCAAAACGAATACAATTTAATACTGAAATTCAGTCCTAACAGTAATTCTCTTTGTTGTTCATACTCTATATTCTGTCATTATATCTTGAAATAATATATGAGAACTTTCAATTGGTATCAGAGTCATCGACTTTCGAATTTTGTCCTCAACTGAACTCTCATAGAATTTCATATTGTCAATTCGATCACACACTATCAAGATGTCTAAAAAGCATGTTAGCATTGGATCTGAAACTAAGCCTCCTGCTCTATTTGTGGGGGAATATCATCAATAAAGGATCAAAACGATCTAGTTTCTGGAAAACATAAATGAAGAATTGATGAACTGAATTCTAAATGGCCCCCTAGAGCCCTTCATTGATGTGATGACCGGGTTTTATGGTAACAACACTCAAGGTAAATCTTATATGATTATTATTTGATTATGTGAAAATGTGCTTATATGAATGTATGAGGTATTGATAAATGCCGTATGTATGCATAATTGGTATACATGATTTGTGGCATTAGAGGTATGTGCATAAATTAAAGTTTATGCAAATATTATTATTATAGGGTGCGTGCATATTCTTAAGAGAAGTTTAATATATTTATTCCTCCGCCGCCTTTGAGAGTTTTATAAAACCTTTTGCACCGCCTTGGTTTATATAAAATATATATGGGGATAAGATTAATTCTATCTTACTTATCTTCTTGGAAAAAAAAGTGTGGCATTGAAAGTGTGTTCTTGAGAAAAAAAACCTGCATAAAAGTGATTTGAAGAATCTGTGGTTATTGGAAAAAAATGTTGTTTGATTTATCTGGAAATTTGTGCATATAAAGTGAGTTTTGTTATTAAAATTGTAACACCCCAAAATTCATATATTGCATATAACACATATTTCATACAGAGAATATATGTTTTCCCCCACATAGGTCCATAATACAAGAGACTAAGAATATACAACTCAAAAATTCCAAAAAGTACATGCTCTTGTATCTCTATATCTCTACTTCAATCATGGCTAAATAAGATCTTCATATAGCTTAATCACATAGGGAAATAATTCACATAATGCGCTTTCCCTTATTATCATTAGCTGCACACATATTTTGAAACACAAAAATGAGGGTTAGACATGAATGTCTAGTGAGATTCCCCTTTTTATCTAATGCAGGGTGAAGATCACCAAAATATTTAAACCATCTTATATATTTGAAAGATAAAACCACATTCTGGTTGAATTCATCAGGCCTCTGGTTTCAAAACCAGACTTAGAAAATATTTCAACTTATATGAGGATCAGAGCCCCTCTGGTTCCTCTGCTAGAGCTTCTGGCTTCTCGACCAGAGCCTCTGGTTATACTAACTAGAGCTTCTGGCTCAGGTAATTCTTCATAATATTCCTTATCTTGACTTTGTAAATACAGAAATAGCTTTTTCATAACTAAAATGATTAGAAGAGAAAGGTCATGTTTGACCAGAGCCTTTGGTTGTACTAACCAGAGTTTCTGGTTCAACAGACATGACCAACCAGAGCCTCTGGTTCGATGTGTAAGCCAATCCTCTGGTCTGTTTTTCATAAAAGATTCTGAGTATAAGCATTTTTCTTTAAAACTTCTCACATACGATTTTTGATACAGAAACTCTTATCAATAGATATAGAGCTTCTGGTCCAACTAGTATATTTAATAAGAACTTGTATATTTTCCAAAGTAATAACCAGAACCATCTGGTCCAATATTGAGGACCAACCAGAGCTCCTCTGGTTCCCCATGAAAGTGAACATTCTGTTCCAAAATACTTTTATCCAAAGTTAATGACCATAGACCGTATTTTCCTGTACCCATAACATCAATACTATTATTTTCAATAAGAACAACATCTCTGAATCCTTAAATCACCAAGAAGAGAGAACTCCAATCTATTGTAATCTTAAGAGATATAATAACAAGAGTTATATCATGCACACACACAACGACCATCCTTATTTCATCCATAATTCCCCTTTTATAGCAATAGCTATCCATCACATACAACGACCATCCTTATTTCCCCTGAAAATTCTTATGAACTATTTCATCCAATGACAGGCTGCAG